CTATCTGTGCATTAAGTTTATTATATTTCTTTTTATTCGCATGCATACACCACCTTTCCTTCTGAACTGATTCGTGAGTATACTGAGTTTTTTCTTTTGTGTAAAAACATAATTATGGAAAGGTAACATTCAAATCATGAGCTGAAAAACCACAGTGTATAGTCTTGGTCTTGTTTTTATCCAACTTTCCATGGATGTGAGTTCCTATGTATTACTAGCAATGAGCCAGATATAGTTTCAAATACTATTTTGACCACTACGGTCACCTGATACTGAAATGCTACAAAAGTACTCCATAATGCATTCAAGAAATATAGAATTTTTAAGAATGATTGAAATTGTGACAAATGTATATCTAGTTATAATACTCCACTGTTGTGGCTGAAATTTCAAATGAATAAAATTTAGAAGTTAAACAAATGGTTTGGAGTGAGTATAAAAAAATTGAAGAACAATAAAAAGTATAATTATTTTAAAATTTAATGACCTTTCCATGGCTCTAACAAGGGTCAAAATTGATACATATCTTGGAGTAATGGACAGAAAATGATAAGTAATTATAATAAATCCAACAACAGGTAAAATATGAAACAAAAATATCAAACTTTTCTCTCAGTGCAGAATCTTGCTCCAACTACTTGTGTCTGAACATCTGAACACAGCCTGTGAACTTGAGGCACTCCTCAAGTCTGCATGCTTGAGTTTCAAGTTGTTGAATCCAAATGTCCTCTGGTCCATGAAAGTCCACAATAGCCTTTACATTACTCAAGACTTTGAGAGATATTACTTTTGTTGGCATTAGCTGCTACTTTGTAGAAATACTTTTCAGATACAACTACTTCCTCTATTTAAAGAAATTCACAAGGGTCTATTTACCATATCTTCAAGCATCTCAGGAGTCTGTGTATGAATTAGTACATCTTTTTTTTAGAATGGTACCCTCAAAGGGAAACCATGACTACAAAGAGTTGAGGACATTTCCTCCATATTTGTCAGGGATCTCAAATTATGGACTCTTAGTGGCTTCATGAAGAAATGTTTCCTGATGCTGCATGCATTCCACATTCCTCCACATCTACAGACATCATAGGCTGCAAATACCTTTTTCTTAAGAGCGAAGCCTGCCATCTGTCCCATCTGCCTGGGAGATCCATTGATGGCTCTCCAATGCACTGTAGCTTGAGTGCTTATTCTATCAATGCATTTCAAACTCTGCCTTTATGCCAGTTCATCATGTTCCTCTGAATGCTAACTGTTTGGGTGCATTTTAAAGGTCTTCATGGCAGTTTGCGATGAAGTCAATGAACCCTGCTTTCAGAACCAATAAAAAGAATAGAACTGATTAACTGTCTACTGCCATCAGCATTATCAGGGTTGTAAAACCCAGCCACCCTGTTCTTGAAGTGGACTGAGGTCCTCTTTACCTCAGAACTCCCCAAGAGATGTCAAAAGCAAGAATATTCTAAACCTACTCTTCCACATGATCCTACAGAATGCCATAATAAACTGCCACTGGTAGATGCCTTCTGAGCTCAAAGACCTTCCAAAGGATGTCTAGCAGTAGTTAATATGCAGGGCATACTAGAAATGGGTTTTCTACTTTTTTCTGCTTTGTTCAAGAAAATGATTGAAAGAAAGATACAAGAAGGTAGGCCTACATACTTCAGTGAGACAGAAGAATGACACCCTCCTGTTCGGCATGTCAACACACTAAAATTTAAAGAAAATTTAATGAAAATATCATCTCATGGTTACATCACTCTCACAGAACTAGAGGGCATTGATAAGGGCAATGTGAATGGAAAGAGTAGAATGCAGTTTAGACTTTAAACTTCTGAAACAAACCATTCTGACCAACTCTTCAGAGATGTGTGTTACCAGTATCATCAGTCAGTCCACTCCTCCGTGCACATGAAGGAGCATATCTATTGTTTTGTCATGGTATGCAGAGTATTACTTTTTATAAAGCACAGAAGAATGTTATTCTAAGGAACTAAACAAAGGAAGAACTGAAGAGGGATGTGGAAAACACACATTCATGCAAAATGACCAACTGAATCACCGTTACCAACGAAGAGCCAAGTGCCTGGGTGCACCAAGGTTTTTAGCTATTAGAAATCCCACAGTATGGACTCGGTACCATATACTCCACAGTTTATAGCATGGCTGCCAAGGAAAAGAGACCTCTTCACCGCATTCTCATACCCCAAGTCTGTATTAAAAATGTTAACAGTGATTAACACTGTAAGAAGCAGAAGAATATCTGCTGTGAAAAGGGAGGTTAGGTGACATCTGGAAACTAGGCCCTGCCTGTATGATGCATGTCTGTGCATCAGTCACACATAATTACCAATACTATCAGTGACCAATCTCTCCTGTAAATGAGGATGAAGTAAGAACAGAAGAAGAGTCACTGAGACAACCTGCCCCAAAAATTGAAGCATGATCATTACAGGCAACTTTCCCTACTTTTGAAATACATTTGGAACTTCTTCATGAATGATTCAAACACAAAGAAAGGCTATTCTGGTTAAAAGCCTATAATTATATTTATTTTTACAATCATGAGATGTCTGTATCTCACTCAGAAGTGGCTAATTTTATAAGCTCCTTACGGATAGTAAAAGCAGCTTTGCTTTCAGTCTTGACCCTTCCTCATCTCATCTCTTGATTCTCATGAACACCACGGTCTCTTAAGCATGCGTCACTAAGACATATACAATCGAGACATTAAATGTCTGAAAATACTAGCATTAGTTTGCAAAACACATGTCCGGAGCCTTTCAAGATGACTGAGGTGGGAACCTACTTCATTGTCTCATTTCACACAAAGAGGGTTTGTCTGTCTGCAAAGTGCCCAGGTGGGAGAAATGCAAATGTTTTCAAGGCAAAATGCCTACAGGGGTGCAATGGGCTCAACCAGTGTAGTAAAGAGTGGGAATATTCTACCACTGAGGGAAGTCAGAGCAATTGAGGCCCCAGAGAAGAGACATCACCGTATTAGATTTTGTTGAAAGCCTCTAATCAAGAGTTCAGCTTATTTTCATTTAAAGTGCATGAGGTCCGTTTGAAATTTTTAAAATGCATTTCCTGTTGGAAGCAACTCTATATCAGTGCTTGCCTCCCACGTAAGTGACATCATTTCCCCTAGTCATCCCCCACAAAACATCACCCCCAAAAGATGAATTCCACAGGAAATTCAGTGATCTCTGTCATATGACCTTCTTCACTGACTTCTCTCCAGCTGAGCTTCCCTTGGCTCTGGTTTCCCTGGTATCAGCCTGTCTCTCTGAAGCCCTACTACTGCTTCAGTTCCTGTTTGGAATCTGCATAGTTATCTGCTCTGGAATGAGTAAGTTTGAAAAAATTACTCCAAGCTTCTGTGAGTTGTTAAAGCATAAGCCCCAAACCATCAGAATGGGTGCTGGTCCTAAGCACCGGGAGCATCTGCATGTGTTCCTGATCACCCTGCCTCCCCACATTTGGAGCTAACTGCTCTGGTAGAAGTTCTGTGTTTCTCACTCCCTGGCCCTGTCATTGGATTGTCAGAAGTATTTTTGCTTGAAGTGATTCATAGATGTATGGACTCTAGCTCCTTGACTAGATCATTCACACTGTACCATTCCAAGGATAAGGAATGAAAGGGGATCAGCAAAGACTGGGAAACAATGAGTCAAGACAACTTCCTTTGATTACTTATAAATCTCTTCATTTAAACTTCTCCTGTTTAAATGGCTGTCTTTCACATCTTTGTCTCTCAGCCTCTATTGAACAAGTGAATGACTTACAACTTTTGAATTGCCAAATGCTAGCCTTGGGTTTTAGAGATATTATTATAAACCAATAATTTATTAAAAGCACATATATAATCATGCTTCATAAACAATAAATTTTTCTGTTGTTTTTCCTATTTTTTGTAACATTAAGATATTTTAAAATTATCTTCATTATGATCATTGACTAAATGGATTAGATTAATTTAGTCTAAAGCTAAAAGAAATAAATGATCTATTAGGTAGCCTATTAAATTAATGAAAATGATTTGATTTTGACCTTATATAAAAAAAAAAGACCTTTACCATGTATTGAGTGAATAGAATATCTCAAGAAACACAGGTAGTTCAATTATACACTGTCTCATTAAATTTTCACACAGATTCTTTAGATAAGTGTTAACTCGAATTTCATTCTGTCTGCAGCCATGGGGCTTTTAAAAACTACATCACCAGCAGCCATGTAAGTACCTCTTGATAAAATTATCTTAATTTAGAAATGAAAACTAGAGCTTAGTCTTCAACGATCTTCTCCAGGTAATAAACTTGGTCATGTTTGAAATAGTCACTGTTAGTCATAAAATGTCAATTATGTGTCAAGTAACATATAAGACCTCTCAATCTACATAGCTGTTTCTTCTATTTTACATATAAAGGAAATGAGGTTCAAGGGGGGTAAATGGTTCCCTAGATACACAGCTAGGAAGCAGAAGAAATTCCACATCCTGAACCAGGCAAAGGTGTTGAACCACAGAGCATCCTGTTTCTTCAATGAAGGTGGAGACACAACAGTAAATGTGGCAAAACCTCACATTCAGTGTCTTAGGGCTCTGAGTTCCTGCTAATAGTCACAATCAGTCTTAACATCTTATTCACCAATTCTTCAAGGTTGATCAGTTTTGACTGAATAATTAAAATATCCCATTTTTCTGAAAGAAGGGACATTTTCCAAACCTCCTTGTGATATGCAAAGAAAGCATGAAATGCTAATTTTTAAAAAAAATTTTAACTCTTTATGGATACAACTATCAGAAATATCAAAGATGTAAAAACTACACTTAGACAAATGCATTGATTGATTTAAAATAGCAATACATTTCATTTAATTGACGCCACTCCCATTTCTTTAATTTACATATTGAACATTAGTCACGAAATTCCTCTAAGCAAAGCCAGGGAGTCTGAGAACAGGAGCTGGTCTAGAGCTCCGTGGGTTACTTTACTTACTGATGTAACAAAACACCTCACTCAGACCACTCAAAGAGGGAAGAACTGCTTTTGTTCATGGAGGGGAAGCTCCATCACGGCAGGGATGGCATGCTGGTAGGAGTCTGAGGCGGCTTTCCATATGGGATCTGCATTCAGAGAGCGAAGAGGTAGGAATATTAATGCACAGTTCGCTTTTTCCTTTTTATTCACCCCTGAGCTCCAGTATGTGGGATGGAGCCTCCCACCTCAAGGAAAGGGGTTTCCCTCTTCAGCTAAATTTTTCAGGAACTACTCCCATAGACAAAATAAAGGTGTTTCTATGGTGATTCTAAATTCAGCGATGTTAACCATGAAGAGTTAACAGTCACCCTCTGTTGTGTGGCCGTTTCCTCTGAATGAAAACATCCTCCTCTGAAGGAGAGGCCCATGAAACCGAGGAAGTAAACCAAGCTTCACGAGCATGAGAGAACAGAAACGTAAGTTTCTCGATGGCCCTTCCCCAACTGTATAAAATGGCGTCAGCTGCTGGGGGGAGGGGCCTCTGACCAGCCAAACCCCAAAGCAGAGATTCTTGGACTGTCCAGCAGCCCACAGGCTGTGCACAGAGCTCACACTTTATAGCCTTCATGACTCTTTTGCCGTGTTGGAGTGGGCTTTTGGGTGATGTAGCTGCTTTTGAGTCATCACTGTTCTTTATAAGTACATTTCACTCATATTCCTGTTAGTAACCTCAATAAAATTTTATTGGTTCACCAAGTTGAGCATTGGTTCAAGCATGATTTAGGTCTGTCATGGGGTCCCTTTCTGGGCTGAGTAAACTCATGTGCATTCCATCTCTCCAGGAAAAGCTTGTCACATAATAACCCCTTGTCAACTTCACACTCAAACACAACATTAAATATTAACATTCCATCCCTACCTTTAAAGTCTCATTTTTATCTCTATACAAAATACATTTAATCCACTTCCAAATATCATGCTAGTCATCAACAGTCTCAACAGTGTTTAAAAGTCCAAAGTCACTTCTGAGTTTCAAGGCACTCAATGGTGAAATCCTCTAAAATCAAAAAACAAAACAAATTATGTTCTTCTAAAATACAAACATGCAAAGTAAACTTCCCATTCCAAAAGAGAGGAAGAGGTACATAGCAAGAAAAATTTGACCAAAGCAAGACCAGATATTCAGCAGGCAAATACCAAACCTTGTAATGAATATCTAGTATTTGGGACTTATGATAGAATGTTCTGGGTTCCAATAACCTTGTGAGCTGAGCCTTCTTAACTCTGCTATGTACTTACATGTAGCTTCTTTCTTAAACCAACTCCTTTCCATGTCATTAGCTTTTTTCAGAATTCAATTTATGATCCTACTAGTTCCAACATTTGGGGGTCTTCATTGCAGCTTAGGGTTTATCTTTCCATGAAATGTTCTCTTAGGGACTTCTTGCAATGACTCTGGTTCTGCCAAACATTTTATAGCCTCATCAGCTTTCTGAAACATGGGTGTAATGTTCCATAGTTCTCTCAACTTTGTGGATGCCATGCCTATAAACCTAATACTAAGTGGATTAATGATGCCAAATCTTTATACCAACTCAAGATAGAGCCCAGCTCTCTTGGCCCACTTAAGTAGTAGCCTCTGTGAGCTGACCCTGGAGAAACACATCCTTGGGTGGTTGTTTTTGACCAGAGAACTTCCTTCAGAGGAATTCTCAGTATAGCCTTTCCCATCTCAAATTAATTTCCATTTCCACTAATTGGACATTGATAAATGGTGCTTTGCCTTGAGGATATCTTCCTAATGTTCTAATGAAAAGGGTAGGATTTCTACATCACAGAGCTGATCTTTAACAATTATGCCTGTTTTTCCTGGGACTTCTTTGTCTGCAACTTTCTTTTTTTTTTTAACTTCTCAAATTAACTAAGTCAAGTTGAAAAGACATGAATACAAACACACTTTAATGTTTCAAAACTAGGCACAACACAATAAGATGTAAAGACAAACATACAGACTGTCCTTTCCATCAGTATAGCTAGTAATAGTCTTCATAAAAGTTATTAATTATGTGTCTATTTCTGCAAAGTAGGCCTATATGTAAACAAAATATTAAAATCCCAAGGTACTGTAATTTATCAAATTTGTGATATACATAGACGTACATACATGCTGAGAAATGTTTTAACTAATTAAAGTGAAATAGAATTTTAACAAAGAAAAACAATATGCAGCTGCGTAGTGGGGAAATGTTTCTCTTTTCGATTCCCTGGAAACTTCTGATTCAACCACACAGGAGTCTCAGGCTGCTGATATCAGCAGAACCAGGATGGGAGGTGACGGCTTCAAGTCAGGGCTCTGCAGTCTACTCTCACTACTCCACTTTGGGCTGTGTGAGTGATGCAACAAGTAAAAATGATTTCTTTTTAAATAGTAGAAGAAATGATATATGACTTAATAAAAATATTTTAAAAAATCATAGTTCAGATAATCCCATAGAGCAAAAAGGGAAATTCCAATCTCAGAATTATATGAACTAATTCAGATGGTGTGTCAGTCACATTTGATCATGTCTACTTTAATAAGTCATTTATGTGATTCAGTAGTTGCTGTCATTCGTTCTCTTATCTGTATATGATGTGAGCTTCTTAAACTGAGAAAACTCAGCTTCATTTTGTTGGCACTTGATACTTTGTTAGGTGAGGTTCTCAGTAAATGTTTGGTGAATGTCTGAACAGCTCAGCAACAGGACAGCACAGAAAACTGAGAGCAAGCCATCTCATTAGGTTTCTCAGGGACTGAAGGAAGTAAAATCTGCCAGTTATATGCTTGAATTTATGTGTGCCCAAAAGTCATAGATATAAACATAAAAGACATGAAGATATGTTATTATTTCTTCAACATTTAATGAAACATTACAGCTCCCCAGACTTCAGCCTAGACTCATCGGCTTTCAAAAAGATCAAATTGTCTGCAACTTTCATTTGCTCACATTTCTTTCTTTTTCTGTTTCTTTTTTTTTCTTTTCCTTTTATCAGATTGCACACTTCCCACAACTTTCTTCTGTATGTCATTGTATATTTGGTAAGAGTGGTACCACAGCTGAGGTACTACCCAGTCCTTAACTTACTACCAAATAAGCAATTTCATTTTTTAACTCATCCCCCTGAAGTTCTCAGGACACGGTTAGAATGAAGCCAGATTATTTGTCAGAATGTAACACAAATGGCTTCTAGTCCTGTTCCCAACTAAATCCCTGTTCCCCACTGAAACCTCATGAGCCAGGTCTCTACTGCCTACATTTTCCTAAGCATTATTGTCTTCCAGACTGTTATAAGAAAGGTCCACTAAGCTGTGCTTACAGAACTCTAGGATTTTGATAATCCACACCTCTAAATGCTCCCACATTCTTCCTGCAATCCTGTTTGAAAAGCTGGGGAACTACGTACATGGTTGAATTTGTCATAGCAGCAAATTTCATTCTTAGTACCAATTTTCTACATTAGTTATTTCCCTCATTGTGGTGACAAAACACCTGAGAAAAAGCAACTTAAAGGACTTAAAGGAGGTGGTGTTAATTTTGGCTCTCAGTTTGAGGGTATTCTCTTTCATGATGAAGAAGGTGCAGGAAGTAGACGGTCACTTTGCATCCACTTTGCTTGGAATGAAAGCCCAGGGAATGCTTCTACCCACATTCAGGATGAGTTTTCCTCAGTCAAGCATTTCTGAAAATCACCTCATAGAATAATCAGAGACATGTTTCAATGATGATTCGAAATCCAGTCAAACAGCCAAGAAAACAGCTATGTATCCATTAAAAATGCTGTACTTTAAAAAATATGTAAACCATATTTTAATTTTGGAAATCATATTCATCTTTATACTAACTACCACTTAAATTAATGGTAAAATAAGAATATATACTATTATATAGTGTTGAGAACAAGGATGAAACAAATCCCCATGTTAATGCACATTGAGTATAACCTTAGCCAATGAAGTTGTTCTCTCTGAACTCTGAATTTTCTCATGCAGAATATAAAATAAGTAAAATAAATACATAAATTTGATGATAAGTACTTACAGGAGCTGATGTCAAATATTTGGTCTTGGCATGTGTGTGGAGTGGGGGTAACTACTTGTTTTCTAGTGTTCTACCTAATAGTATACGCACAAAAGGATCTGTAATCAAATGAGAAACAAAATACAAGTATACATTCAAGTTCAAAATATTGTTTCTTCCAACCTCATCCTCACAAGAGACCAGATCAGGTGACAGAACAGCTGGCAGCCACGTTGCTTACCTCCACCCTTCACTGCTGCACAGTTTTCTCCATATCAAGGCTGCTGATGTAACTGAAATTTTTCTGTGCCCAACCTGGTCTGAAGACACTTAGGCCCAAGTAAACACACAGAGGCTTATATTAATTAAAACTGCTCAGCCATTAGCTCAGGCCTACCACTGACTAGCTCTTACACTTAAACTCAGCCCATTTTTGTTAATCTATATGTCACCATGTATTCCATGGTTTTACCTGTGTGTCATTACATGCTGCTCCCTGGATGGCGGGCTGACATCTCCTGACTCAAGCCTTCCACTTCCCAGAATTCTCCTCTCTGCTTGTCTCAACTATACTTTTTGCCTGCCTATTGGCCAATTAGCATTTTATTAAACCAGTGTACAAAAGCATTATTCCACAGCATGCTGATGCAGCAATTATTTCTGAGTAGAAATCTATCACTGATCTCTAATGACAAGAGGGGTGAAGGACAACATTTTATGTGTAATACTTGTGACAGCGAAGTGTATTTTGTCTTCAGGCACTATAATCACTAAGCAAAATATTCAGTTCTGTATATATAGCTCTACATTTTTGTTCTCAATCATTTTACTACTAAGTTGACCTGATTGCCTGCTTGGAGTTAAAAATAGCTTTGATTTGTTTTTTTCCTAACTCTTAAATCATCAAAGGTATGAAAGGAGTGCCAACTATGAGCTGAAATATTTAATCTTCAGATAAAACAAGTGGTCAGATATTTTTGACATGAGAACAAGATTAAAAGCTTGTCACATAGACCTAGCATAGTTAACTTCTGGAGGAGAATCATATTGTATATCAGCATCTCCCACCTATTGCTACCAAGTATTCTATGAGTCCCTAAGGATCCATAAGATATCACAGTGGGTGGTTAGAAAACTAGAAAGTAACCAAAGATCCTGGAGCAAAGGAAAGTTGGAAGAAAATAAGATAAATGGAAAAATGATAGTATTCAAGTCTTCTAGCTGGATTTATTTATCTTACGGATAAAAATCTCTATGATGCAGTTGGACTCTGCACTCTATTGAATTTGATTGATGGTACAAGATTCTTACCTACATCTGGGAATATCTTGAGGATTAAAAGATAACAGAAAGACGAGCACTATATCCCAATCACATAAGAATAAATCAAGTTAGGTGTGGTATAAGTTGAAAGCAAAGGATAATAAAAAAAAAAGAGACAGGAAATGAGGAA